AAAGACAAGAAAGTTGTCCAAGCAATTAGTTGCAGATGGGAATGCAATAATTTGGCGAAAATTTTGGTGCAGAACAATTTATTCTAACAAAAATTAGGTAGGAGTTAGAGCCACTGACAAATTGAGACTTTATTGTTTTGGTGGGTATTGCAAGGGTGGGTTTTTCCAGTTAGAAGTCCTTAGTTCTTACTCTACTAATGTCTCTATCACATTAAACACCATTGTCATCAACCCAAGGGACACTGAGGTTCCCGATGGATACTGGCATTACCCGTTGGAAAGGGCATAGAAAAAACTCAAATGCTATAAATTTTCTGCATAAGTTAAAAGTACATTTATTATATTTTTTATTATTAATTTATATAAAAAATTATGAAAATAGCACTTGATCCTTCGGATCAATTGGCACGCAACCAGTTTGAAGTGCATTTCTCCCTCCTCCATGGATAGGTATCGAGCTCGTCCTTTGACAATTTGTTTAAAAAAAAAAAAAACTTATTTTCAATACCAATGTTATATAAAATGATTTAATTAAAGGTTGATAAAATTTAACTAAGCTTTTATTTATTTTTTTATGTAAATTGATAATGAAAATGTGCAATAATTGTACGAAATTTCTAAATTTTTTGGAACAAAGAAACTTCGTGAAAGGGGCAATGCTCTAAAGTCTAATCTGATCATCAAGATAATGAAAATGCCATTCTATTGCTTAACAGCAGGCTTAATGTGGTCTAAAAGAGCTGGATTAACTCCAACAGAAGCAGAACCTAAAAATTGTTTCTTGAGGGTAAATTAGTAGTAGCCAGCAGATCATCTTTAAGAAACACTTTATTACTGAACATGCACGCATTACACAACATACACTAAAGATCTCGATTTCATGTGATTATTAGACATTCTGACTACAAGAACTGGTTAATTTATGAATCTTTAGCATGATGAGGAGTTTCTACAGCTTCTAGTCATCGTTTTATTTCCTCAACATGGTCCACTTGATTTCTGGAGGAGACTTGCAGTTTAGAATGCATTTTGAAGATATATTATCTCAGAGGTTGTACATGTATCTAGAAAATGACATGAGTGCAACCTCTCAGAAATTTGTTTGTAGATCTTGTAGTTGAGGGTCCAAAATTTTGCCTTCCTTTCCAGGTTCTGTTGGGAAGAGAGGGGCATCAAGTTGAGGTGGGTTCTGTTCATCAAGGAACAAGTTAGTACACACAACTAAAATCTAGAATATGAAAAGGGGAAAGCAAAGGAGAATGAGGTAGTGATATTGAATTGAGCTAGCTTAAGAATTGTCAATATTCCTTAACAAGGTTATTTTCCTCCTAGATTTAGTTAAGAAAAGAAGATGCAGATTTTTATGTGAGCTAAATGTTACAAGTTTGATTATAGATTCTTAGTAAGCCATAACCAATGGTGCAAAATATATAGTAGAGGTTTTGAACCTGCTCGGAATTCAATCTCTATGCCTAGTTCAAGCTTAGTTTATAAAGTTATCTAAACCAAATTGTGTGTGCACTTTTTGGCAGCAGTTGATGGATTATTAAGGATTCTAGATTTACCATGGAACGAACTAAGGCCCAATTTATGCCTTTGAAAAAAGGATGCTGCTTAATTTCATTTGCTCCTTCACGAGAACCTAATCTGCTTTTGGGATCTTTGTTCAACAAGCGGTACATTAGCTGCTTCACGTGGAGACTTACCTGCACAAAGGTCATAAAAAGTGAATGCCATGGATAATGTTGTAAGACTAGACACTAATACCTTTCTTCAATTCTTTGAATAGGAACCTAACCAGTAGTAGTTCTTTAATAATGCTCTGATTTATGTACTACGGTTGTTATGAATTATGAAACACATGTCAACCCAATAAATGGAGGAATTCTTGAATTAAGAATGCTACCTTTTGGTAAAAAAAAAAAAAGAATGCTACCAATTACCAACAAACGGCAGCACTAATGAATTTTGTTTCTGTGAAGATTTCTTCAATAGTTGTATATCTGTTATTTACTAGTAATGCTTACCTCAATAACATTTCTTTTTGTTTCTTGTCTTTGGGTGTATGTCGGTGATTATTAAGGACTTCATGAAGATGATAATCTTTGTATACAGGGTCATTAAGTAATTTGAGGATACTTTTTTTTCTTCTAGTTCTCATTGTTTCATATATAGTTCCTTGTTCTTTCCAATCACTATCTGATATAGAGTGCTGACTTCAACAAATTATAGGATACCTTCTTAAAGCTTCTAGGGGAGCAGTATTACTAGCAGTTTTTGATTCTGAGGTGCTAGACAAGAAAGATAAAAAAAGCAAAGACGAAAGATCTCACCGGTGTGCTTCTTGGGAATTTGAGTTCTTTTGAAAGAACATTGGCAAATGTCTTTTGTCTTGTCTTTCCCCTAAAAGGTGTATATCCATAAAGCATTTCATAAAGAAGGATGCCTGGAAAGAAAATTGTCATCATATTGGAAATAAGATAGAAATAACTATTACAAAGCTACAATAAATGATACTTTGAATTAACATGCTAGGAAGTTTCATTCTTAGGTTCCTATGGATGATCGATGGAAGTCAAATCTCCAAGATGTGGAAAGCAGATAGATTTATCATCCTTAAGCAATAATTTTGCTTGAGAGGTGCAAACCCGCTGTGTTTCACTACTGAAAAGGTCATAGTTTTCTTCCTTACCTTAGATTTTCAGCAGGTAAGTCATCAAGATCATTTTCTTAACTATCAGCAGGTAAATATTCTAGGTCGACTAATACGAAATTTGGAGCTTCCGGTAAAACTTGATGATTAAAGTGGTAGTGCTTCATTTTTCTTTTTCTGTTTTTTTCTTTTTTCCCTTTAATTATTAAAAAAAAAAATGATATGTTGGCTTAGGAGAAACAGAATTACCTAGAGCCCACCAATCCACTGCACTAGTGTGGCCCGCCCCAGTTATAATTTCCTGCAAAGAACGAAAAAGAATGAGGATCTGAAAATCACTTAACCATCTACTACACATGATATTACAAGCGATGAGTTGATGGAAATGCATTTTTTTTTTCAGAAAAAAAAAAAAAGAAAAAGAAAGTAAGCAGACAAACTGGAGCTATATACTCCTCAGTGCCAACAAAAGAATTTGATGCACGCATGGGTTCAGCCATAAAAATAGGATTCTGTTGATTTTTCTTGCGTTTTTTCTTTTCCTCCATAGGTGGAATCAGAAGCTGCACAGAGGGAAAACCCAATTTATCTAGTTTATGTTATCATAAAAGCTATACTTTGATGAAGGAGAAGAATACAGTTGAGGAGAACTAGGAGATCCTAGAGCTTAAATACTTGTGGTTTGCAGGATGTCAAACATGATAAATCAAAATCCGTTAAGGACACATGTCCACTGCTCTGGAGTAAAATATTTTCTGGCTTTAAATCCCTGTATATAATTCCTGCAAGAAGTATAAAAAGAACAAAGTAAAGAGATGGAACTGGGTGGGGAGGGTTATGGGATGAGTGTGGGTAAGCAAGGTGGACTACTCTACACGGAAAATATATTTAGCTGTTCAATCCATAAGAAATGTAGGTGCAAACTGTCATTCCTAATGAGCGCGATCAGTTAAGGAATAATAAATTTATTGAAGTAACACTAACAGTAAACTTAAGGCACCTTGACAGTGAAGATACTCCAACGCAATGACTACCTCTGCAGCATAAAATCTACAGTCATGAAAAAGTTTGAATTATTTGAAGTTGTCATGGACACAACTGGAATGCAACCATGAGAAAGGAACTTAGAAGATGCTTAACTAATTCTGAACACATATATAATAGAGTTGAACAGAGTTTAGAAATTACCTTACAGCACTTTCCTTCAGGACTTTTGATGGTTGTCTGTCCAAAAGCATGAAAAGTTCTCCACCAGGGCAGTAATCAGTGATCAAACAAACATGTGTTTTGGTCTGCAAAGTATCTAACGTTTAGATTTTAGTATTTATACAAAAGCCAGTAGGTCGAACATGAAGCTGCTTGCCCTCCAATATTCTTAACTAGAGGATGGCAGAATGAAAATAGGTAAACAGATTGTTAAATCGTCTTAGCTTCATGCAAAAAGACTAAAAATATTTCACGCTACAAGAAGTACCAAACTATCAAACTACCACTTTAGCAGATTGCTTCAGTTCTATTTCTGATGTTTACTTTAGTCAGCTAACCTGAAATGAAGCATATAATGCAGGAAGAAAAGGATGGTCCAACATATCAAGAATTTCTCTCTCTGCACAAGCTCTATGCACCTGAAAAAGAGTAAGGCTTCATGTAAATGAGCAAAAATGAACCAAATTTCTGTCCATTTCATCAGAACAAGAGACCCACCATCCCTACAATTTGAAGCTAAAGGAGTAAAACAAAGTATCTTTACAATGCCTGACTAGATAGTGGCATGCACTACCATTATCACGGTTACATAGCAGAGGCAGGAGCATTCAAAAATTATAGGTCAAAGTGCAAGGATATAAAACAAAATCAGCACATGGACCTTCGAAGTCATAATCAAGTTAAATCACCCAAAATACACAAACCAAACATGTACATGTGGAAAATGAATCAGTTTGAATACCTTGTTTCGATTGAGCATAACATCCTTATCCATAGCTTTCATGGCAAAATACTGGCCAGTTTCACACAGTTCCACCAAATGCACACTGTAACAAGAAGTAACCATTTCAATAGAAGTTCTGTAATAGATTATAAATAGGAGAAAAGGAAGAAAAACACAGAGGAAAGGATCTAGGATATAACTGCTAAAAGAAAAACACAGAGGAAAGGATCTAGGATATAACTGCTAAAAGAAAAACATACATAAAAGCATCTTTTAGATTGAAATTAGAAGAATCCAATAAAATTCAGCAAACCACAAACAAAGGAATTAGACAAACCTGCCGGTGTCACCTGATCCCAAAGGTTTTACTGGTCTAAAATGTTTTAGACCTATCTGGTCACCACTTTTGAGAATCTGTGAATGTTATACAAGCAAAGAATTGTGATAACAAGAGCATGTAAACACTATGGTTGTCTGGCAGCATGTACCACCCTAATCCCAAATTTCCTTAAATGAATCCTCCCCAGAAGAATGATACCTCTTGAATGGCTCTCCAAGCGGGACTGTCCTTCCTGTGAGGTTTAGGGTGAACCATCTTTGAATGATTCAACCAGAGATCTTCTGGTTTCTGCAGTTAGCGAAATTTTGTTGTTACTATTACATATGCGAAATGGTTTTGAGGACAAGTGTATTATTACATATAAACATATCACCATATTGGCATCTGGAAGTTCTCTCACAGCTTCGTCAACATTTTCTGCTGTTTGTTTCACCTGAAAGCAGAGGAAAAACTACCTTGTTATAACAAGCAACCGAATTAAGATGCTTACCAATTACATAGAAAATGAAAAGAATAAACTTAGCAGAAATAGGGAGGTGACGCTAGATTTAAACCATGTTAAGAAAAAAAAATCCCAAAGAATTTACTAGGAAATGGATCATGCTAAGATATGAATCTACCAGTTTTTCGCCCTCTTTTGCTGTGGCCTCTGAAATACTATTACGAAGTGGCTCTACATGTTGACTACCATCTAGTTGCACTCCAATAAAGTACTGAACTTCTCCCTGTTCAAAGAACCAATTTATAGAAAACTTTTATTTTAGTTGACCTACGAAGCTGCATCTAAATAAAATCTGATAATCTACTTAGCATAGCAAGCCATAGCATTCATATTTTATACAAATGTACAAGGTTTTTACCTTTTGGTCACGCATAGGCTGCAGATGGAACAGATTCCAGAACTTCTTACCTAGAAGGTAAAAAACAAGGCTTAAGCGGTCATATTGAGAATCAAATTGAAACATGAATTATAACACATGCGTCTAATTGAGCACACCAACATACTTTCTCTAATATAAAACATGACATGAATGATTAG